CAGGGAGGGAGCCTTTCCCCAACATATACTTTGTTCTGGTCAAATCCCTGGAGAGATGTGACGACCCTCAGGTACTGGGGCAGAGGGAACAAAGGGGTCCTTCCATAGTTTTTGGCCCATCTGAGGCCCATTCTCATATGATGCCCTGCTTCCTCCACAGGGCCACACCTCCAGGGATGAGGCTCCAGCGCCTGCTCCTGGGACGAAGAACAACAGACCATCATGGTGGTTCCCGGCCCCTGACCCTCGCCTGCCTCACCCTCCGTCCGTTCTCCATGCGGGCATGGCTCCTTCCCGGTCCTACTTGGCGCAGAAGCAGCAGCCAATGTTCCCCCCCCTGTCAAAAGCACCTCCTGAGTTATTCCGGAGCCGGGGGAGACTTGGGTTGCTGCCTCTGTGCCAGGCCGGCCGGGACAGAGCCCAGACACCCGTACGGAGGAGTTCAGGTTGGGGCAGCTAATAAGATCAGGTAGGAGGAAATGCCCCCTTCCCAGGTCCCCCACCCTCCTGCCCCATACTGGGGCTAGAGTGGCTGGGAGCCAGGCGCCTGCTGATGTCTCCGTTTGTTTTGCAGCGAGGAGAAGGTTGAGCCTGGGAGCCGCTGCATCCCGGGAGGGACTGGAGCCCAAACAAAGGCCTCTCACCCCAGAGCTAATGGGACAGAGGGAAGGACAAAGACCCCCATAGGGAGGCAAAGTGTGGAAAGGCTCAGAGTTCAGGCAGGGGGAAATGCCAATTGAGTGCTGGAGTGTGTGGGGGGAGCAGGCCTGTCTCGCCCCAGCCCCTCACCCCCCTCCTTCCAAGCCAGGGGTCTGATCATTATGTCCCCAGGCAGGAGCAGCGATGGTTGGCAGCCACTGGTGACATGGGCATGGGCAGCATGGCAGGGCTGCTTGTTCTGTCCCCCTCCTTCCCTGGTTCACCTCGCCAGCACTCAGGCTGTCACTGCAGAAGTTTGGGGGCTGCTCCCCCCGGGGGCCCTATGTCTCCACCGCAAGAAGGCCCTGCCTCCACTGGCTTGCCTGCCCATGGGCTGCTGCCGGGCTCCTCTGTGCCAAACAGGAGAAGGAAAGAAGGAAGAGTGAGGAAGGGAGGGAGCTGGGAAGGCAGCCTGGGGGGGGGGAGAGAAAATATTGAGGGCAATGTGCCCCAGAAGGAAATCATTGGGGATGGCCCATGGGACCACTGTCCACTAGGGAGTACAATGTCCTTCTTCCTTCGCAGGGCTGTGGATTGGGAAAACCTCCAGCAGCCCAGCGGTGCTGGGAAACCCAGTGAAATTCGGAGGTATGCTGTGACCTTCTGTGGCAGGGGAAGTGTTTCCCTGTCATCTTACCAACTGCAGGTAAAAAAAAGTTCCTGCCCCGAGAGGCTTACAATCTTTAATATGACACAGGGAGGGAAGAGAGAAAGGTTGAGGTCCAGGCTGGATCCTGAGTCCTCCTGCGAGACATAAGCCAGGGTTTCTGAGTTTAGACTTTGGGATTCCCGGACATTTCCCACCTGTAACTTCTTCCTCTGTTTTCATTTTCCTTCCTGTCTCACAGCTTCTCAGAAAGGAAGGACAATGCAGCGGTTGTGGCGCCAGGAATCACTGGAAGTCGTGGTATGTTAATTCCATGGGGAATCCATTCCCCACATGTGCAGGAAGGTTGTGGCCCCGACCTGCGTGAAACAGGGCTGGGTTGGGGTGTTGCAGGCCGGTCTTGCACCACCCCCTCGCCCCCTCCTTCCAAGCCAGGGGTCAGGCGCCCAGGCAGGAGCAGCGATCATTGGCAGCCAGTGGTGATGTGTATTTTCCTTTCTGTCTCCCAGGTCCTAAGAGGCTACTGTACCGCAGGGCCCAAATGGACAAAGGGGTGACGGCCATGGAAGATGTGGTATGTTAATTCCATGGGGAATCCATTCCCCACATGTGCCAGATACGGCTCGGGTTGGTGAAAGTGCGTCTGAGTTGACGTTCTGTCAGTAGTTTTTGGCCCCTCACAGCCCATTCTCATAGGATGTCCCCCTTCCTCCACAGGGCCACGCCTCCAGGGATGAGGCTCCAGCGCCAGCTCCCGGAATGAAGAACCGAACAACATCCCGGCGGTTCCCGGCTGACGTCCCTCGCGGCGCGTCCCCACTGTCCCTTCTCCGCACGGGCATGGCTCCATCCCGGCCCAATTTGGTTCCCTGGCTTGCCTTGTCCACAGATGTTGATAGCTTGGCAGGTCCTCAGCTGTGGTCCCCAGATGATATTTTCTGTTGTGAATTACTAGTTGGTAACTTCCTCTGTTTTTATTTTCCTTTCTGTCTCACAGGTTCTCAGGCAGGAAGGGCACAGCCATGGCAGAAACAAATATCCCTGGAGATTGTGGTATGTTAATTCCTTGGGGAATCCATTTCCCACATATTTATTTATTTATTTTAATTTCTATACCGCTTTATATTTGTAGTAAAAATCTCAAAGCGGTTCACAGCATAATAAATCAATAAAACTGTCATGGCCTGTGACAGCCCATTCACACGTCCAGTGATTCTTCCCTCAAAGAAGCCCTTAGTGTCCAGTTCTTTCCTGCTTCAAAGATCCCTTCTTTCTTCCAGGATCTCCTGTCTGCACCGCTGTGGCTGCTGCCAAAGCCTCCCATAAAAAGAACAAGAAAGAGGAAGGGCTGGGAGAACACCCTCCAAGTTGAGTGTCAACAGAGAATGGGAGAAGAACCTTCCTGCATGAGAGCAGAAAGTAGACGCTCTTGTCTTGAAGTGGGTGGGCCAAGCTTTCTTGGGGAGCAATGTCAGGGCAGGGGCATTGGGCATCCATTCCCCACGTCTGCCAGGAGGATACCAAGTCCTTCTTCCTCCACAGTGCCACGCTTCAAGAGAATGAAGCTGCAGGGGAAGTCCTTGAGTCCTTGAAGCTGCAGGGGAAGTCACTCCCCTTCTCCCCCTTCAGGCTGCTGTTCAGCAGGTGAAGCTGATTCCTGCCCCATGACACTATCCCCCTCCCCAAGGTGCCCTCCACCTGCCGGATGGGTGACGCCCTTTGGGGAGCACAATGGTGGAAGTGTTGGACCAACCGGACATTGGGGGAGCATGGACAGGCAAGGCATCTTCCCATGAGGAATTTCCATTAAGTCCATATCCATAAAAAAGGCCGTAGCCCCCCAATTTCTATCATCTTCTTCTTTGGCAATCACACATAGCCAAGTAAGATTGTCTTCCATGAACACGATCTTAACAGTGAGTTCATAATGGACTGTGGAAACAAATTCTGAATCCACATGTCCTTCCACAGTGGGGATATAGATTTCCAGGTGGGAGTTGATCACGGTGAGGGTTTGCCAAACATGCTTCCTCCTAGTTTGTTTCTCCCTTTTGTCCTGAGTTCGAGTATCTTCAAAGTCCATGACACCATTGGTAAAGGCTGTTCTCTAATTGGAGTGTTTGCATGCCAGTGTTTCCCAATTGTTTCTACTACATTTCTTTTAGATCTGCCTTGAGAGAGTCTTTAAACTTCTTTCGTTGACCACCACATTACATTTTTAAGTTGCTTGGGAAGGCGATAATCAGGCATAGCCCAGGTCTGTAAACCTGCTTTCCAGGTAATTAGAGGGGGTGGTGTGAGGCATCTGGGCATTAGGAATACAAGCCAAGCCTGGCTCTGTGGCCCTCCTAAATTGAGGTTAATCTGTTTCTGGGCAGCTGGCAGAGCCCCTCTTCGCTGGGCATGGGACTGCCACATCCCACGGCCTCCACAGGAGACTCACAGTCCCTGTCTGCATCTCTGTTCCTTTTTGGCCACCGTCAAACGACTCCCATACTGATCCTAAGCTGAAGAGCTGCCCACCCCAGCTGACCTCCTCCCTCCAGAACCCACCGCTCTCAACTGACTCCCAACTGCCTCCCCACCAACATTCAAACTCCCTTTCAAAGCCTCCTCCAATCGTCACTCTCCCCCAGAATTCCACACTCTCTCTTCCCCCCTCCCTCCCTGCTTGACATTCCCTTCGGAATCCGAATAGAATTACCTTAGTTACAATATTGTTATAGATTGATGGGGTTATCCCACTAAAGCCTAGAGATTAATAAATGGTCGTGTTTGGGATTATTTGGGATGTGAAGGGAGAAATACAAGCTGCAGAGGAATTCCTGGGCTAGCCTATGCAAAAGGTCCTGGCCAAGCAAGGGCCTTTAAGAAACATTTCAAGGACAAGGAGAGCCTAACTGGAAATGCAAAAGAAGTCCTTCTTCATTGCCCTGCTGTGTGAACAGAGAGGGGGGGGATTTGAAAGGGATCCAGGATAATGGTGTGTGGTGAGGAAAACTGAGGCTTTGAGCAAGGGGAGGAGGAGGAGGAGCAGAGTCTGGAATCCAACTTGGGAAGGCTGGCTGCCCTGTTGTGGGGGGCAAGTCCCTCTTGGAAGGACTTTGCTGTAAGATCTGGACTCCCTCCATGCAAACTGAAGATGTAAACAGGTGAATAAACTGTATTTCTTAAAGGTAAGACAGTCTCCGCCATGTCTCAGTTCTCCAAAGGTGAGAGCCTGGAACCCCATGGACTTTTGCCATCGCTCAGTAGAGAGAGGGGAGGCACCTTTGGGAACAAAATTTTATAAGCCTGCTCTGACAGGTCATCCTGTTAGAAGCACTTGAGCTTCGCATTCCTGGTTCCTAGGAAACTGGGGAAAATGAGCTGCAGGTTCTCCTCCCTGTTCTAAAACGCAGGTGTCTTCCCCTAAATGATCCTGGGAATTTTAGTTTGTCAGGGGTTCTGGGTATTGTAGTTCTGTGAGAGGAAAGCCGCAAAGCACAGGATCATTGGGGGGGACGTCATGTGCTTTCAATGCTCATTAGATGCACTTTACATCATAGGATCATAGAATTGTAGAGTTGGAAGGGACCCCGAGGGTCATCTAGACCAACCCCCTGCAATGCAAGAATCTCAGCTAAAGCATTCATGGCAGATGGCCATCCCACCTCTGCTCAAACACCTGCAAGGAAGGAAAGTCTACCACCTCCCGAGGGATTTCTTCCCACTGTCAAACAGCTCTTGCTGTCAGAAAGTTCCTCCTGAAGTTGAGTCGGAACCTCCTTTCTTCTAGCTTGAAGGCATGGCTTCAGGTCCTGAGGGCCTCTGGAGCAGGAGTATACAAGCTTCCTCCCTCCTTCCTCTTACGGCCCTTGAGATATTGACAGGGCTGCATGGTGTGGCTCTCAAATCCATGTCCTGAGGGACAGAGAACGAATGGTTTTCTCTCCCCTTTCTCCACCCCATGGAGAATTGCAAGGGGTCAGTGCATCTGGCTGGTAAGGAGATGGTTGACGTTTGGAGCCCAGCCAGGTCTGGCAGTGGGCAGGATCCTGGCATTGTCTGGGGTTGGACTAGATGACCCTTGGGATCCCTTCCAACTCTACCATCAAGCAGCCAAAGGAAGGGGCGGGGGAGCAAGATGCAGAACAAGGGGAGGCACAAACACCCCCCCCCTCCAACAGCACCCTCTGGCCTGACCCACAGGGGCCTCACCCCAGCACACTTTGAACCCCCCCCCCCGATTTTATATCTATTTACTGAGCCCCCTGACAACCCAGCATCCTGGCACCTGACATCAGTTTGCCAGCTGATGTCAGAAGAAGCTGATTTGCATGCAAGTCTTATAGTGGCCTGCAAGAGGGATGCCTGTCAGATGATGGGGAGAGACTTACTGAGACAATTGTGCCCATCAGCTATCATGAGAAGGAACTGTGAAGGTAGGAGGAGCTCTGAGGCCCAGAGGAGATGAGTGACAGAGAAATAATTTGATTGTTGTTGTGATGATGATGATGATGTACATGTGTCTTGGCTCCCTGGCTTGACATCTCCACAGATGTTGACAGCTTGGCAGGTCCTCAACTGTAGCCCCCAGGGCCAACCCCTGGGACAAGTGGGACATGTCTGCATCCAACCCGGGTCAAAGGAAGAGAGAGGGGAGCAATATGTTCCTTTCTCTCCAGGAGCACAGGGGAAGGGACCTCACACAGAGCCCTCTCTGCCAGTTGTCTTTCTAATGTCCAAGTCCCTGCCTGCCAGCAATGCAGCTCTGCAGACTTAGCTCCTTTTCATGCTGCAGGAGACCCAAATGGATGGTTTGTGCACACCCTTTGGTTTTAAGGGAAATGCGTCTAGCAGGCTTCAGTTTGCACGGGGCAGGAGCCTAGTGATATTTATTTTGTATTCTTTATTTGCAACATCGCTGTGTGTGACCCTTGATAAGAAGGTTCCTGCCCCAAGGGCCTTACAATCTTTAATATGACACGAGCAGGAAACCTTGAAAGGTTATTGACTTTTGGGAGAGGTTAACCAGGTAAAACTGCAAATGCATATATATCAAAAGAGAATTAAAAAAGGCTCTCCTCCCCCTGGGGCTATACAAGTAATCCATCAATTATTTCAGTGAGTGGGCCAGTCCTTTGTACGGTTGTTTCTGCTCCTCAGCGATCTTTAGTTTCGTTTTCTGCTCTCGGAGATATTTTAACTGCATCATTGTCTGCCATTAATCCCAGGCAGATATCAAGAACTCTCCTCTTGGCCTTCTTCCAGACGCTATTGAGATGATACCTCTACGCTAAAATGATAGCTCCATTAGGAATTCCTTTCATCTTTCCCTTAGTGATCATTGCCAGACTCATAGTCAAAATTTCACCAGTCCGTTTCATAATTAAGATAGCATCCACTTACATTTTCAAGCCGTTGTATTTTGGTCATGATTAAACTCTTTCCCCAGATCAGTTCCTTCTCAGTGGCTGATTAAATTAGCAAGTCATTTTGTCTCTGCTGGTTCAGGGCATGCCTGTTAATTAAGTCCAAATTTTTATCTTAAAAAGCAGGTGTTCTCTGCTTGTGGCGCCGGCTTGGGAGAGTTGCCACAGCCGTGCGGTGTACACCCAGCTCCCCCTGCCCCCTCTTCCTTCTGGACAGGCAGCAGGTATCGGACGATCTGCAGGTGGAGAGCCCCCCCCAACCCCAGGGGGGTTGGGAGGATAATTACTCCCATATTATCTTCTATTACCAGCACAGAAGGGCTCCAGTGCAATTGGCACAGGCAATCGCCATGGCAGACAAACAGGAAGTCCTCTTTTAAAGCCATGCAGTCAGAGATGCTCTTCTGCTGCATCTCATAGTCATCTGATTGTTCCTGCCAAAGAACGGCTCTTTTGAGCTCCGCAGCGGGATGGGCTTAAATTCCCTGGGGTGGGTGTGACAGCTGGATGGGCGGATGAGGGGACGTTCTCTCCCTGGCGTTTGGTCTGTGACAGCCCATTCACATGTTCAGGGATTCTCCCCTCAAAGCAGTTCTTAGTGTCAAGTTCTCCCCTGCTTCTTTCTTCCAGGATCTCCTGTCGTCACTG